TTTCTTGCACATATTTTGATATCTGGGACCTCGCTGATGTTCTCAGGGGAGAGATCCTTAGAAATAGAATTTCAACTCATATGGATAAGGACAGGAATTTGTCATTTTTCCTTGATGCTCTGCCAACAAACCCTTGGGGCCGATAGAATAATAATAATTATTTTTTTAACAGATGTTGAGTTCTGGAAAGGCTCTTTTAAAAGGTCTTATTCTTTCATAAACCAGAGTACTCCCATGTACAAGAGTAAAGAGGGGAGTAAAGAGAAGTTTAAATCAGGAAAACCTTGTTAAATAAGTGACTTCCAAGTGACAATGGCGTTTTGCCTTTCTCCGAATCCTCAGGCAGAGGCCAGGGTTTGGAGCCAAGATCAAGGACTAGATGAGTCATTGCCATGGCATGGCAGTGCTTCTCTAGTCCCTAGTCTGCACAATCAAATCTCCAACTGATTTCTCCTTTTCATTTTTTCCCCTCTTTTTGGCAAGAGAGAAAATAACTTCAGTATTCTTTTTTTAGGAGGGTTAAAAAAAAAAAAGTAACACCATTCTATTGCCAAAAATTGCATATAGAATTTCAAAGGGTGACCTCTTCCCAGATATAGCAGAACTTATGGTGGCAACGGAATGTGTCACCTTTTGAAGCATAAGCACTTCAGATCCCCAGGCCTGCCCATGTCTTCATTGTACTTTGGAGAACGGTAGGATCAGGAGTAAAAGGATATTAAATACAATGTCATTTTCACCTGAGAGTAATTAATGTTTCTGGCCATGCAGACTGTCACATGGTGGGAGTCACAGTGGCAATAAGTAAGTGACGAGAAGAAGGACCCAGGTATACGGAGATGTTCAAAGCCTTGCTTTTTTCACAGTTGGCCGATTAAGTCATTTTTAGAATTTGGACTTCTCAGGGGCAGAGGGTTTTTTTTTTTCCTTTTACATTAAATATACTCTTCCCTACACTGTTCAGTTACATAATAGGGTGAGCGCATGTGCAAAGTCATGTCTTTTTAGTATTAAGACACAGAATCACATCCTTCATTTTTGGAGTCATAGTTATTCATGATATTACTAATTCCGGACACAGCAAATAAGATATTGCCAGAAGTACTTTCTGGGCAGAATAAGTAGGAAGCTTGTTCTTAGCGGAGTTTGTTGTTAAATATAGCCTTGATTCCCCTTGCCTGCCTCCCCTCCCCAGCCCCCAAACGGTATGGTAGTCTGTTTAGAATCCACCACCTTATCTTTAAATGTTAGACTCCGAACCACTGTGTATTCTGTAGTTACAGTTTCCCATTTTTCTGGCCTTGTGGCCTTGACGGAAGCTGTGTGCCTCTCCTTCCTTTGACCCACTGTTGGTGGTGTTTCTACTTGGGCTCATCAGACAGCACCTGATTAGGTGGCCTTCTGTCATCTATCCCCCACACACCCGGCCTGGCCTCAGCACGGCGGGGCTGGCTGCCCTCCAGAGCAGCATCATGGAAGCAGCTGTCCTGACAGGGGAAGATGAGTTTGGTTCATCTTTAAACATTTCCAAGGAGTTGGACTCAATGTCACAGACAGGTCAAAGGCTCAGTCACATTTAGAGTGTGACATGACGGCATCCTGAAAAATATGTAACTTATCAGGCGGTACCGTCGCTCTAAGAGAATAAGGACCTTGAGAATGGCCAGACGTGTTTTGAAATCCCTGCCCCACCATCTCCCGAGCTATGTAAATACTAACCATAAAATTCCGAACACATTGCCTGACACAGAATAGTAGGCTAAGCAAATTTTGGTTCTCTCTAAGATTTTATTAATTATTTACCAGGAGCAAGGAAAGATTGGAGATCCAGGGGACCAGGTAGTATCAAAATATTAAGAGGTGGATACTCAGGGTGCTTGCCATTGTATAGGGGAAATCGTGGTGAATTTTGAGCTCAGGTACAGATTAGAGGGTAAAAAGAAATAAATGCCACATTAAAAATCTAGGGGGATGAGAATGCAGAGAAGAGACAGAGACAGAATAAAGTCTCACGGAGGTGGGGGCACTTGAAATAAAAGCTGAAGAAATTCTTCCCTTCCCTACACGCTAGTGATGAGGATTTGGACCTTTCAGGGATAGAAAAGGGGATATTTACGTGACAAGGAAGAAGTTGAGCAAGTGAAGTTAATGCAGAGTTAGGTCTGGGAAGCAGCTAGGAGCCAAAGTGGGCTGGAGCCGAGCCCACACTAGGGGAAGGCAGGAGGTAACTGTGGAAAGACAGGTGAGGCCATCTGTGGAGGCCTTTGCTCTCACCCTGGAGGAGGCGCACAGCAGAGCGCAAGGGAGTCCAGGCCGGGCACCTGGAGGGCAACGCAGGGCACCGACTCCGCAGCTGCGCTGCTCTGGCCTCAACCTCCAGGTTTCCACTCATCAACTCTGGGACACGGGGCCACTTTCTGTTCTCTTTCCAGCTTCAACGTGCTGCTTCGGTTAATAAGAGGATTAGACTAGACCATGTCTCTTGAAGTACATATAAAGCTATCTGTCTACAAATTTGGTCGTTGAAAAATGGCAAAGGTTTTTCATAGAGAAGTGTTTTTTGAAAAGTAGGAATGCATGAAAGTTTGGAAATGAAATCATCAAATGACATAATCTGAGAACTCCTGGGTCTCCATTCCACCGCTAAGCTTATATGATTCTAAGGAGGTAGATCTAGTGACACTGAGACACGTTGAAGGAGTCAAAGACTGGAGACAAGAAAATCATTTGACTTGGGGCTTAAAATGAAATGGGGATTTGAAGAAAGTAACTTTTTTTTTTTACGGGGGGGGGGGCAATCCTGAGAGAGAGCGCAGCGGTACAATCAAAAGGACTTGGCAGCTCGGTGAATAGCGGCTCCAAAGCTAACAAGCACAGGAAATAATGCTTTTTAAAAATTGATGCATTCTTTTATATTAAATCGTATAGTTACTTTAGTGAGGACTTAATTCAGTATTGCTCAGAGAGTTTCAAGGTATGTGGAGTTTCTAGCCACGCAGATTGCTACATTTGTTACAGAATGGCACGTTTGTTGCTGAGCCCACAGATATCTGCGGTGGGCCCGGGGTGGGGGGTGGGGGTGGGGGGCTGGTAGGGTCCCGGCCCTCGGCGTAGTAGTGACCAAGACAAAGTTCTTGCTCCCGTGGAGCTGGCGCGCCAGGGCTGCTGCGATGCAGGGGCCGAGAGACAACACGCAGACGAGGAAAACCCGCTCAGGAAGATGACCGGAGCGGCCTTGACCGGGGCGCCTGGGGGCGGCCCAGGCCTCCCTGCCCTGGGTGCATTGGGGCTGGGTGCGCGGGCAACCTGCAACGGCAGGGCAAGAACACTCCGGAAAGGGGGGCACGTAGGGCCGAGGCACAAGGCTGGGGATCCTTTCTGCCCTGTGGGTTTCAGCAATTGGAAGAAGGCAGCCGGGCAGGGCAGGGGGTCGGGGAGGGGTCGGCAGGAGATGGGAGCCCGCGAGGAGCCGAGGAGCCGCAGGCCCGACCCGGCCCGCGCTCCCGCAGCGCCCGCGTGACGCCCTGCACAGCCCGCAGGCCACTCGCAGCAGCGCCGGGGCAGGGCCGGGCGGGCCTCGGACAGGGTGCGGCTCGCGCAAGGCCGCGCGTGGGTGGCGGCAGGCCGGGCGCCCCCGCTGTCCCTGGCGGCCCCTGCCAGCCCGGGAGGGCCGGTCCCAGGCCTGCTACCCGAGCCTGCAGGGGCCGCTGCGGCGCTCGGGGCGGGGGGCGCGGCCGCCGGGGGCCGGGGCCGGGGGCGCCTGCAGCGGGCGGGGCCCAGCGACCTCCGGACCCCGCGCCCCTCCCGTTCGCGCCCGCGCCCTCCGCTCCCTTGACACCGGGGCCCGAGGCGCCCGGGGAGCGGGTCCTGGGTCGGGGGCGGAGGCTGCGGGAGGCTGCGCGGCCTCCGGCGGAGCCCTGCGGCGGGGAGGGAGCCGCAGCGGCGGGGGCGCCAGGCCGGCCTTGCTGCCCCCTCCCAGCCCCACGAGCCCCGCGGCGCCGGGGTCAGAGGCCGGTGGGGCCCGGGCGCCGCGTCCTGCCCGCTGCCCGCTGTCCGCCTCGGGCCCCCGGCTCCGGCCGCGCCGCCCCGACCACAGCCCGGGGGGGCCGGGGCGCGGATTGCGGGGGCGCGGGCGGCGGGGCGCGGGCTGCGGGGCGCGGGCTGCGGCGCTCGGGCTGCGGGCGGCCCCACGCGCCCCCACGCGCCCGCCCGCCGTCCGGGCCGAGCCGCCGCGCGCCGAGGGGCCGGGCCGGGGCGGGGCGGGGGCGGCGCCGGAGGCGGGCGCCGGAGCACGCGGAGAGCCCGAGCGCCGCCGCCGCGGACCGCAGCTCTGACGGGCAGCTCGGCCGGAGCCCTGCAGCGCCCGCGCCCCGGGAGCCTCAGCCCCGCGCCGGCCGAGTCCGGGGGCGGAGCCGGGCGCCGGGAGAGCGGGGTGAGCACCGCGGCGGGGCGCCGCCTCCTGCCCCTCGGCCGCGGGCGCCGGGCCCTGCGAGCGGCGGGGGGCCAGGGGCGCCGGCGACTCTCCGACGCGGGGCGCGGGGCGCCGAGGGCGGGGAGGCGGTGTCGCACCGGCCCGGCGCCGCGCCTCTGGGCGGGATTTTGGCCACAGGACAGGAGGCGGCGCGGGCGCGGGGCGCGGGGGCGCGGGGGCTCGGGGGCGCGGGGCGCGGGGGTCTGGGCGCCCGGCGAGGTGGCAGGCGCGGGGCCTCGCCTGGAGAGCCGGTAGCTTCCCGAGCGGGCGCGGGAGCCGCGGGAGCCGGGCGCGGGGGGCAGGGCCGGGGCGAGGGGGGGCGCCCGGGATGCCGGGGGGGCGGGGGGGCCGAGCCCGGGGACGCCGCGAGCCACAACCGCGCCGGGCTTCCTGGGCTCCGCGTCCGTCGTGCGGCGAGCGCGGGAGGACACTTGCGCTCCGGGGCTGAGCGCGGAGGCAGCGCCCGCCCGCCCGCCGCCCGCCTCCCGCCGCCGCCGCCGCCGCCCCCACCGCCTTACGGGGCCGGTGCGCAGCGCCCGCCGGCGCCCCCGCTTCGCGCTCGGACTCCGGCCCGCCCCCCCGTATTATGTCTGCACTCCGCAGGAAATTTGGGGACGACTACCAGGTAGTGACCACCTCGTCCAGCGGCGCGGGCTTGCAGCCCCAGGGGCCGGGCCCGGGCCCGCAGCAGCAGCTGGTGCCCAAGAAGAAGCGGCAGCGGTTCGTGGACAAGAACGGCCGGTGCAATGTGCAGCACGGCAACCTGGGCAGCGAGACGAGCCGCTACCTGTCGGACCTCTTCACCACGCTGGTGGACCTCAAGTGGCGCTGGAACCTCTTCATCTTCATCCTCACCTACACCGTGGCCTGGCTCTTCATGGCGTCCATGTGGTGGGTGATCGCCTACACGCGGGGCGACCTGAACAAAGCCCACGTCGGCAACTACACGCCCTGCGTGGCCAACGTCTACAACTTCCCGTCCGCCTTCCTCTTCTTCATCGAGACCGAGGCCACCATCGGCTACGGCTACCGCTACATCACCGACAAGTGCCCCGAGGGCATCATCCTCTTCCTCTTCCAGTCCATCCTGGGCTCCATCGTGGACGCCTTCCTCATCGGCTGCATGTTCATCAAGATGTCCCAGCCCAAGAAGCGCGCCGAGACCCTGATGTTCAGCGAGCACGCGGTCATCTCCATGAGGGACGGGAAGCTCACGCTCATGTTCCGGGTGGGCAACCTGCGCAACAGCCACATGGTGTCGGCGCAGATCCGCTGCAAGCTGCTCAAGGTAGGCGCCCCGGGCCGCGCGCCGCGCACCCCGCCCCCTCCAGGCCGCCGGGAGCCGCAGGGCCGCGAGGGTGGCGGGAGCACAGCCCCGGGGGGCGCCCGTGCCCGGCCCTCCCCGGCTCTCCCCGCGCCTCCCCGCCGCTCGCCCTGGGCCCCTGCCCGCCCCGCCGAGGCTGAGCCGCCGACCCCGACACCGGGCGGCTCTTGTTCAGAAGAAATAGGTGCGGAAGTCCCTTAACTTTCCCTTAGGGCTTTGCCTTACCCCGCCCCCCGCCCCCCCCCGGATTAGCAGGTGCATCCTTTCTGCAGGCCCCGTAGCCCCAGCTGCAGGGCCGCCGCTCGGACCAGCGCAGCGACCTGAGAAGTAGCCAGGGAGGTGGGAGAAACACCTGGTTCGCTCAGATTTTTATTCTTTTACTAAATATTTTCCTCGAGAAGTGTTCTGGGAAAGCCTGTCCCGAGTGCTTTTTCTCTAGAGCCTCTTGTTGATTTTATTCTTAATTGCCAGTTTCTGTTTTTTCTTTTTTTTCTTTTTTCTTTCTTTCTTTCTTTCTTTTTTTTAATTGCCAGTTTCCATGAAGCCTTTGTCGATTACAGATTTCACTTGAAGCTTCTCCGCACCCGTTTAAGGAAATTGATTCTTAGCACCGCGTGTCGGTGCACAGCGCGCTGCACACGGACGGGGGCCCGCAGCCGGGGGCGCCCGCCCCAAAGGGCATCCTACAGACGAGGGAAGCCCGCGCTGCTCTGCTCATTCACCCGCCCAGAGCCGGGGGGATGAGAGATAAAAAGTTCAGTCCTCTCTCGGTGTGTCTCTTACAATTCAAACTTTTTTTTTTTTTTTTTCCCCAATTCGACTTTTTTGAGGCATTTGCCTCAGGTAGTTTTCAGACGTTCCTAAATCGGAAAGAGATGACCTCAAGTGAAATCTTAAGAATTTATCTGAGATTGCATGCAGAACGACAGCCAGATTCAGAATTTAGCACCAAAAAAAAAAAAAAATGAAAGCTTGATGAATATTGGAGATTTTTGCCTTCGAAATTTCAATGCCACTCTGCAAGTGTATTGTTTTACACTGCCCTGACTTATGTTGCAGTTAAAAGTGCTTTTAGAAAGTTTGGCTCCTGTGTCATTTTCATTATTTATCTAAAAGACTTTGCCCTAATCATTCCTCAATCATGTTGCTCAACAAAGTGTTAGAATTACCGTAGTTCAGTTGTCCCGTCACTCCACATCGTACACTATAGACGGTAAAAAAACCCACTAACTTCTCTATAGCTAGTGGCAAATTTTCAACTGAGTTTTGACGTGCATGTTCATTAAAATAACTGTGAACAAATAATCTCAAATCATGTTCTTCATAATTAATTTCAATGTGCTGCATACTAGTTCTTATTTAACTTAGCATATTGTGGTTTTTGACCATTAATTGAACTGAGTCGTTTGGGTTAGGCTAGGCAGCTGTGTTGTAGACGTGTTTGTTGCATGGGTGTCAGTCCTATGTGCCTGTTTCTATGAATAGATCAAGACAGATAATCTCTCTGTAAGGTAGGCCTGTGTGGAAGACAGGAACACCTCATTAATGTAGTGCAGACATCCCTGTCAGGGAACTCACGCTTACGTGTCACTTTGAGATTCTTATTGAAGAATATTTTACCACATTGATTGAAAATTGGAAAAATAAAATTAGCCCTTAACGGTCGTTCATTGCTGTTCCCTAGTTTTTCAAATATATAAAGTCAGTAATTAAAAGAAGTATCTTTTGAGACAACATCTTTTAGATGTTCCTAGACTTTATTGAATTGTGGTTTAACAAAGCTGGAAAAACTAGAATTAATGTGCATATCAGTTTTGTGTTTGTGTGTTTTGTTTTGTCTTTACAAAGGTACAATGAATCTGGAGTATCCAGCCCAACAGTGGTGCAGGACACTGATAATGACTTTTAGGCAAAGGCCATGTACCACATATGCATATACCGTAAGGAGTGTCCTGATTAAGAACAATAAGAGATTTATGGTGCTGACAGATTCGGAGCAGGGTGCTATATATAACACAAGGTGATAAAACAATCTCTAATTGAAAGAATGTATATATGAAAAAAAGAATGTATATAATGCTCTTATAAAATTCTTTGCTTTTGATTTGTTAGAAGATGTCAGTGGTAGGAGTAAAAAAAAATTGACACGTGGTGTCAATTTATATTTAAAACAAAATTATGGTGAAATGATGTCCTGCTCTCTGTGAAATGAGAGCTTGGCCAGTGGCAGGTCTTTGGCCAGCTAGTTCATCATGCAGCTTGTTTTCCTGTAGCCACAGTAATTAAAATGAATTCTCATAGTTCTTGTCATTTCCTTAGACTTCATTAAAAAGGAGTCCTGTTTTATTAGGGAACTAATAACATTCACAGAATTAGAGGGGAGGTTTACCTTTAATAAGTTACTCTTAGGTTCTCTTAGGGACTGAGATTGAAGTGACCTAAAACAGCCAATTGTATTTTGAAAGAAGGAGCTAGCTGTTCCATGGAATAAGTAATACGTAGAATGTTTTGATACCGGTCTTCTTGTTAAATATCGTTACCCATATTTAGTTTCCTCTTTTAAGCCTTGTTTGGCATTTTAAATATAAGGTTGAAGTATTTTTAATACAGATAAATATTTGGAATTTAATGGCAATAAAAACAATATCCGATGATAACAGTTATAGTCTATGTTCTCCCTATTATCTAATTTAATTTCATTTATATTTTCCTATGGTTTACTTATTTTTTGAATAAAAGCTTATCTATCAGTATTGACGGAAGAGTCTTATTTAATGATTATAAAGTATTTTCTGTTCTCGGGAAGACAGTAAGAACGTGGATATGGTTTTCTTATCCTTGCTACTATGAATTTTCATGCATATTTCTTGAATTCTCTTAAGTTTTGATAAAAGTTTTTTTATAACTTCCTTATTTTTAATTCTGTTATTGACTTATATGAAAATAATTATTTTTTAAGGAATCTCTACAGCCAGCATGGGGCTTGATCTCAGGAGCCTGAGATCCAGAGTCCTATGTTCTACCTCCTGAGCCAATAACGCACCCCTTGTGAATGCAGGTTTTATTTCAACTCTCTTCCAGTCTTTCAAGCCTGCAAATACTGAAATGAATTTTGATATTCAAATATAGTTCTTCCAACTTTATGTCTGAAGTGGTCAGATTTTTTCTGCTCAGAGATTAAAAAAAATCAGATTCAGTAAAAATTAAAGGATACAGTTGGAAGTTATTCTTTGAAATTTGTAATTTGATTATAATTATAGCTTAGAAAATGCTTTTAAAATGACTGTTCTTTCTCTTTTCCTCTTCTCATCCCCATATTGAGGTTTTATTTGGGCTTTTAACTTGTTATCTTCTTTTTAAAAATTCTAGATATAGGAACCAATGAATCGCATGTTCATGTTAAGTTATTGTATCATCTAGCTGCAAGTTTTGATAAAAATGCCTGAGACTTGAGGCTAATGGCTCAAACTCTGGACCTTGTAATTTAGCGGTAGGCTTAAAGGATTTGGAAATCTCAGTCCGACTTTCTATAAATCTAACACAAATGGTTGACTGCCCTAGATGTACATCTTGTTAGGGAAGATTTAAATAATCTTTCTTGATACACTGCTCGGGAATTTACAGGCTTATTATCCAGAGGCCATCATGGACTTATATAGGCACACAAAGTATATTTACATAAAGAAAATTTAAAATCAATTACTGCTGGATCCAGATTTTGAAATATAGAAGTAAGGACAACTTTTTTTCATGGAAGTATAATTGTACTTCTTCATATTGTTACTCATAGCAAATAATTTTCTTTCCTAGGAGTGCAGCTCTGCAGCCCTTAATTTTCACTTATTGAAAGGCAGTTGGTGTGCAGTCACCTTCTGATGTATCATATATATTCTTTTTGTATTCACGTCTTTTATTTTCTATTTATATGGATACTCAATTTGGATGTTATCTGGTTTCCCCATATGAATGTCAGCAAGTGCAGATGCAATAAAAGGCAAACTTATTATTTTTGAAACCAGTAAGGTCTTCATCTCCTTCATGTGTCCTAACCTTATATTAATCCTTTAACCACAGTTATTTCTGGACCACATGATTCCTGATTTTTTTCTTATACTTATTTGTTATCGCTTCATACCATGCACTGAAATGCAGTTAGGTGTTTGATTTTGTGTTACTTTATTTTGTAGGATTGATTCTTTTCGCCAATTGGTCTTGGCCAGTTTAGTTTTGATACTAGTTTTGATAATTAGTTACTTCCGTTTAAAAGTAAGTCCACAAGTGGATGCCTAATAAACACACCTGTTCTTAGTATCATACAGGCTGTCAGTAAAAACATTTAAGGAGGAGTGCACAGGTGGCTCAGTGGGTTAAGCATCTGACTCTCGATTTCAGCTCAGGTTATGATCTCAGGATCGTGAGATCGAGCCCCAGGTCGGGCTTTGTGTTTAACATGGAGTCTGCTTGAGATTCTTACCCTCCCTCTGCCTCTCCTCCCGTTTGCACCCTCTCTCTCTCTCTCTCTCTTTCAAAATAAAAATAAATTTAAAAAAATATTTCAGGAGCCTAAGACCGAGTTCCCCAGAACTCTTAGGGCTAGATCCTGTTATGGTTGGTGATTTTTTTTTCAGGTGGATTCATTATGTCTTTAAAGAGAAAGCACAGTTCCTACTTAGTCTAGCTTTGCCTTGTTTGACACAAGGACAGTTCTCCAATAGGTACAGAACTTTTTTTAAAAATAGAATTTTCATTCTTTTAGAAAACAGTAGTAATATTTTTTAAAAATGTTTGTTATGGTTCCCGAAAAATATGGGGTGGCTTGTGTTCCAGGGAATACAGTGTGAACAGAAATAAGGGACATAAAGACCCACAAATAAACAGCAGTAGGTAAGAACAAATGATAAAGAGAAATAAGGAAAAGCATTTGATGGATTTGAGGGTGTTTGGTGAGTAGGAGGGAAATGTGC